GGGTCTTTAGCAGCAGGTCCAGACAATATAATAAAAATACATGCATTGGGGTCGAACCATTATTTAGGAAAAGGATTAGAGTCATAGAGGGTGCCTGGATTAAAAGTCTTCTAAAATATAATATGTAAAGTCGATCAATTTCATGTTACATCTTGTGATTTGGTAGAGGCATAACGCTACAGTTCATTTAAGTTTGTTTACTCGATAGTTTTTCGTAAAGTGTTATGAAAAAAACATAGATTCAATCCATTGGAACATAGTTTTCCCTACAGCTTGGCGGACCTTAAAAATTCTCCTCTTCCGCTCTTAGAGAAAATCCGAATCTGCCGTTACTACATAGTTTTTGGACGTGAAAACTTAACTGTTTTCTAGTCAAAAATATTAATTTATTTTTAAAATAGGTATATGTATTATTAAGCAATTATAGATGATTACCCATTGACTGTAAGGCTTCAATAAACAAAAAACTAGTAATAATTTTAATCTCAAAGTTATATGGAAACCAATTTCAAAATAAACCATTATGGCCCTTGCGTTTTATTGTATAAAAAACACGTGTTGCTGAGTATTTAATAAAAACGGTGGAACTTGGCAAGGCAATTTAATATATAGAGTAGTAAATTAGGCAAACTATTTATTATTATTTTTATTATACAGTAAACAGTAGGACTCCAATTATCCGGATTAAGTGTGACCGGACCCGATCCGGCCGGATAATCAGATACTATCCTGACAATAGGGTAGTGGAGAAGGTATGATTTCAATGAGATCGATGATCTATTCTTCATCTACAGTGTGTCCCGCTTAAGGACTGACCACCTTTCTAAAATTTCTATTTTTTGACCGATTCAATTCATGCTTTTTTTGTTTTATATCTACTCGAATTTGGCACTTATAAGGCTCATAATTTCATTTCTACGGCTGTACTGGTGTACAGGGTGTTTACATTTATAGGCTCAAATTTCAATAAGGACTATTAGGGATTTTTTTAGAAAAAATCTGATAGCTTATTTAGAATGGTCTAAAACCCAAATGTACTAGTTTTTGTTTCAATACGATACAGGGTGATGACAACAAATTTTCACAATTTAATGAATCAAGCCGCAAAAATGTTATATTTTGAGACAAGCTTACTACAAATATTGGTTGAGGATGTTCTAAAACTACGTTATAACAAGTTTTGTTTTTCTCATGGCCTCAAAATATAACATTTTTTCGGTTTGGTCCATTAAATTTTGAAAATTTGTTGTGATCACCCTGTATCATATTGAAACAAAAATTAGTACACTTGGGTTTTAGACCATTCTAAGCAAGAATCTGCTATCAGATTTTTTCTAAAAAAATCTCTAATTGAAATTTGAGCCTATAAATGTGGACACCCTGTACACCAGTACAGCCCCAGAAATAAAATGATGAGCCTAATAAGTGCCAAATTCGAGTAGATATACGACAAAAAATAAATAAATTGAATCGTTAAAAAAATAAAAATTTTAGAATTTTAGAAGGGTGGTCAGTCCTTAAGCGGGACACACTGTATGAAGTAAATAAAAAATATTCGTAATAAAAGAAATTTTAAATAAAATTACAAACGTTCTAAACGGTTGTAAAAGTAGGGTTTTGGGACGCACTATTTAAACGGAAATATTTGGCGCCTTGATTCTACGTCATAGCTGCTGTATTTGAGTATGAATTAAATCAAACTTACTCATTAGTGCAAAAAAAAAGAGATATATCAGCGTCTGTCGGGTATCATTACATCTAGGCGCACCCCCAACATAACCCCACTTTTTGACAGATTTCCATTTGTCAATCAGTGCGCAATGAGTTTATCGGCATCTTTTTCTAAAAGCATGTAAAATATAAAGACGCGCGGACCGCGCTCTCGCCACTCTCATTAATGTCGGAGTGCCTTCACGCTATTGACATAACAGCTATGACGTAATTTCCGGGCGGTAAATTATAGCGTTTAAAATAAGTAAGAGTTTGTTACATTTTTTTTACGTACATTTTTGTTTTCTGAAATCAAAGAATCATCAACTACTGTTTATTTTGTTATGAAGTTTAATAAAAAAAATATTTAAAAAAATTGTCCACTACCCTATTGGATAAATCCAGAAAAAATATAGGTACAGTGAGAATCATTGCAATTGGCACACACTATATAAACATCCCCCGTAATACGTCAAAATTTTACTTCCTTGACACACAGGTAATGTCAAAATCGTGTCAGATTGATAAATCAGTGGTGAACATAATAGTTTTAATAAACCTCTTGAAGGAAAGAAATTTTTGTATGCTTTGTATTGCTCACTAGAGCAAATTGCAACCACTCGAAGTATAGGCAAAGTCTTCGGCGGTTGTGAAATCACAAGTTCCTGCATAATTTATATTCACAAGGAATTTTCCCGGAGACTATTTTGACTGCGGTTTTCACGAGAGATCTTAGATTTTTTTTCTTGATGTAAGTAGCTTAAGTCATTTTTTAGGGTCACACCCCCTTTGAGTGATGTTAAAAGAGTATAGTATGTGCCAATTGCAATGATTTCCACTGTACCTAGTTACACTAGTTCCCTATGTAGTTTATTAAAAAAATAATACGTAAATTTGTATACAGCCAAAAAATTGATATTTATTAGAAATCCTTGTACCCTTTTAAAAATTGACACATATACGTAAAATCGAATCCTGAACCACTTTTCTCTCTACAATTTTTCGATTTCTGGTCATCTGACCCCACTTACATATTTAAGGCAAACTTTTTGAAATTTGCCTCCATGACATCTGTCACAGTGATTTTTTTTGTTGATGTGTATGCTGAATTGATCCCACGTAATATTTTTTTTGATATCTTAATAATAAAATATTTTCCCATTTGTTGCAAACTTTTTGCCGGTCACTGTATATATGTATTTATTTGTACTGTGCTTACATATTATTTAATTGCAAAACGATGTTTTTACATTTCGTACATTGTATAGGGTCTTTCCCCATATATTGACCCCCCCACTACAGGGGTTATGTTAGGAGACATCAAAAAATTGTAAATACAAAAATTTTGGGGTTTTTCCTGAAATTTTGTAATCCGATATTAATTTTTTTTTTTTTAGAAATGTCGTAGAAATTTTGTTAGGGGGTCTTCAATGTAATTTATTTGAAGCTTAGAGCCGATATTTCCAAAACGGCCTAATTAATAGTGGGTAATCCATATATATCTAAAATCAGAAAATTCGACTCTTTTCAACTATGAAGTAGTATATAGGGTATTCCATAAGAAAAAACTAACAATCTGTCAAAATTTGACATTTTTAAAAGAACAAAAAAGTTTTTGACATCGGACCAAAAATTTCTGGTAAAACCCCAAAACTTTTCTATTCACAATTTTTTGACATCTCTTCACATAACCCCTGTAGAGAAGGGGTCAATATATGGGGAAAGACGCTGTACATATTATGACATGTAGATTGGGAATCATTGCAATTGGTACATACTAACATCCCTCGTATTAAGCAAAAATTCTAACCAATAAATATTTTCAGTGCAGCGGTGTACAAATAGTTTTTTCCTCAGAGTAACACTACATAAATAGAGAGGGCAAGTCATTCATAAAATCGTTTTGTTTCTGCGGCCAACAATCCTAAACGACAATAGTGAATTAATGAATGAACTACATGAAGTGGGGATAAGATTGCGGACAATCCGGACCAATTACAAACAAAACCCGTTTGACATTTCTTACTATGAATACTATAGAGCGCATTCGCGATTATGGTCGGGCTTGCTCTGGAAACATTTGCATCCTTCTTTATCTGGTTATCTTAACAAAGATAAAATGATTCAGGTGGGCATTCCTAGACGAATACAACCAAGCTCCGAGATTTTAGGCAGTGTTGCCATTTTCAGCTAGCAAAAATTCTTATTCAAATTTTATTGTGTTAATAGATTATTATTTTATATAATAATTATTCTTATTCAATTTTGGAAAGCACCGCGATATTTTATGTTATAATTGTATATACATATACCTATCTAGGTTTTTATATTTTCGATATATTTTTTTCAATTTCCAATTCCACTTTCCCTGCAACTTCAAGCAATTTATAAATATGGCACATCTGCAGTAAGTGTCCGCAAGTGATCTTAGAATGGGAATCAATGTTTGGGGCATTTTTTAATCATAATAAACATATCTATTTCATGTGTTAATCTGAGGTTTTTTCCTTTATCAGTTTATTGATACTATTAGGCTCACCACTAATTTACCATTCTGACACGATTTAGAAATTAACTGTTTGTCATCGAGGTAAATTTTTGACACTTTACGAGGGAAGTTTATATAGTGTGTGCCAATTGCCATGATTCTCACTATACATGGTATTTTTTCATTTTAGAGTCTGTCAAAGTGTGTTTTCTGAAGTCGGATGCGATCCGAATAATTGGCGATTACAAATATTTGGAGTTCGGTTTATTCAAAATTTACTGTATTTACAAGAAAGTTCGCATTATGGCATTTTTTTCATTATTTAGTTTAACGCAAATTTAGGGTTCATGAACAGTTTCTGCTTTGCAAATAACACCAGACCATCAAATTTGACATATTTCCAAAACAAAAAGTTGGGTTAGTCCTTGAATGCAAAAGTTGTTTCTTTTTCAGTTTTCTGCCCCAACTACCATATTTGGATAATTTATGGATGGCTTATGAAGCCGAAGCGTCTACTTTTTTCATAGAAGCATGTTGTTATGAATCAGTTTGAAACAGTTTTGACATCATGGAGTACGAAAAAATTATTACAAGAAATAAACCATAAATTGTAAAACAAAATATGCCTAAGAAAAATTGTTCAAAAATCCCTACTTCCATTATTTTGAAATTTCATATACCTACTTATTTACCAAGAAGCATTGGTAATCGCAATGTTCATTATAGCTTATACTATTTTCTGGTATATTGACCACATTTTGCATTTATTACATCGGAAATAATTCAGGATTTTCTTTTTCAGATATTGAAAAAACCCACCGACAAAAACACCTAGACTGTCGACTGGAATCGACAAGCAACTTGAAAAATACCGCCAAGATCTCCCGCGAAAGCAACCCATTTCTTGTTGAACCCAGTCCCAAACAAGCCAGCACCATTGAAGACTTAATAAAAAAATTCTCCATTACTACTTTTAATTTGAGCGACGACAGACCAGCAACGGCCAACAAAACCATGATGTCCAACGGGTTAGATGCCCAGCAAAATGGTGGAAGTAATAACGTCGGCGGTGGACAAGAGGAATCCAAAACCAATCTTATAGTAAATTATCTTCCTCAAACCATGACACAAGAGGAGATCAGATCACTTTTCTCCAGTATTGGGGAAGTGGAGAGCTGCAAACTCATTAGGGATAAAGTCACAGGTACGTCTTGTTCTTTTTGAGCGGAGGAAAAAGATTATCAAAATTTTGCACTGTTCTATCAGAAATAACTGACATATTCCTTCCCTTGGAGTTTGCAAACCGGTTTAAAAAATGAAAGTTTCCTAAAATAACTTAAGATAGATTATTATATATTTTACGTTTATTATGCGAAGTTCTTTATATCTGAGCATTTTCCTACAGGTACAAAAACATTTTGTTTTGGACATTCATAAAATATGGTAAAATAAACAGCGAAATAGCAGCTGTAGTCACGAACATCACTATGTGGGTGGTACAAAATACAAGATACTAAAAAACTTGAGTTAAAAAATATACTAGTATAGAAAGTCCAATTAACAATAGGGTACGTCCGGGAGATAAAGTTATATCAGAATAAAAGGAGACACGGCATTAGTATTCTTTTTTTTTTTGAGGTAAATTGTCCAGAAAAATATTTTGTATATAAATGCATTCCACTCAATATTTCATAGGGTTTTGGTATTTGTTGTAATGCAGAAGACTAGTCTAAAAACAATTCAATACAAAATTGGGTAATATTAATTTCTAGAAATGATTTGCAGTTGTGCAGCTTATTGGACGTGATTGGTATTGGTATCCGGAATATTATGCGATGAATCCCTTCACCAACCAACCTGAGTATATTTTTTTGTTATCTGTCTCACCGGAAGCCGAAGGGTAAAGTGCGATTTATACATTCCGTACCGTATCCGTAACGTAATCTCAATCAAAACGCAAGCATTCTAAAAATTACAATTCACACTTTTCTTACGTTTGGCCCATGTATCGTAAATTGATAAAAATACGTGATTAATCGCTTCATTCAATTATGTATGTCTAACTTTCTGCGGTAGCGCTACGTTTACGATGCGTGAATCTATAAATTGAGCTTTAATTTTGTAAAGCAAATAATAATTTTGAGATGGATCTAGTAATAAATTTTTCTACTTACATAAAAACAGAGAAGATGCTTTAGAGTATATACGTTTTGGGTAAACTCACTATACAATGTTGGTTTTATAAAAATCAGAAGGAGCCCTTTTTGACCTAAATTTTGTATTATTTACCGAGTTGTCTTAAGAGAGAGTAATGTATAGGTACCTACGTACAGTCTTCCTTCTTTCATTTGTAGACAAAAATCTCTTTATTATAAATATGTAACTTAACTTGTAATATTTAAATTGTGCAATTGTTTTTAGTGTATGTGCCTCAATAATGCATTGTTAAGATGGCGAAATGGATCGCAATAAATAAAATAAATAAATAAAGAAATAAATAAGTTTATTTAGCTCTTGGCTTACAATAAATAATAAAAGTATCATTGTCCAATCCTTAAGAAGTTCCAAGTTAAGTGCATTTTTTAAGTTATCCGGCAATACATTATAAGAGCAAACCCCTTCATAAAAAATCGATTTTTGTAATGCTGTTCTATTTACTCGGGGTATATTAAAATGTTGATTCGACCTAAGGGTGTGATTATGGAAAGTTGATCTTCGTTCAAGATTCAAATAAGCAGGCTGTGAATTATGTTCTATGTTGTATAATAAAATTAAGTTATATTAACAAGTAACTGGCATAAGGGAAATGGGGAAACAGTACAAAGTTTGAGTTAACAAGACGTTTGTTCTGGTTTTTTAAAACAGACATACTAGTAAAAACAAAGACTTTTTCAAAAATCAATCTACATGTCAAGTCTGTATCAGCAATCATGTTACTTCGTTCCACAAATATTTTTGCAAAATAAAATATCGAAATACAAGAGAAAAGAATTATGAGGTATCTAGGTTGCACCTACCTACTGACAATTTCAAGCGAGAAACATTTTTGGGATTTGGAGAACCCATGCAGACATTTTGACACACAGTTCCAAGGTAACTTAAGCTCTTCAAAACAGGGCAAATATGGAAATTATTAGGTCATGTCTCGATGTCATTCATTCAAAAAAAAAAAGAAAGCATCACGCAGTGAGAATTACCCATAAAGAAAACTAAACTGCTGGACAAATGAAGCGGAACAAGCGAATTTTAAAGTTAACTTTGGATTCCAATATTACGCGAACTGAAGAAGATATCTATGAGTGGCTTGCGTAATTTAAAAGTTAATTTTCGCAAATTGCTCATTGATATCTTTTTTAGTTCGCGTATTATGGGAAATTGAAGTTCACCTAAAAATTCGCTTGTTCCGCTTCATTTGTCCAGCAGTTCAGATTTCGAAACATTTTCGAGAACTAGATTCTCTATTGAATAAAAGGAATGTGTGCATTAAAACCAAATACCTTTGCGTCCGGTGGAGATGAGCAATAGATGCAATAATTATAGTATGAAGTTTTAAGAGGTGCAGATATAAAAATTGTTCAGATAATATTAGCGTTGAGGGGCCACAACTGAATAATTGACATAAATATTATTTGGTTATAATTTTTATATGTGCTAGAGTTTTATTAACTTTGATCTAAGGCTGTGGTCCGAATATAACCAGGTTTTCGCGGTCCGAAAGTAATCAAATTACTCTGGTTCCTGGAAAAGTGGTTACTTTTGGACCTCGGTTTCCTGAAATCTGGTTAACCAAATGTCAAAATAGTTACCGGCCATCGGATGTCGGTTCTGTTGGTTCTATCTATAATTTCTGTCAATTATTTTTCATTTTATACTTGCGTTCTTCAAGTAACCGGAATTTTCAGTAACCATCTGTCAACCGATTCGGTTAGTTTAGTTAACGTTTGGTTATATTGGGACCATAGCCTAAGTTTGTGAGAAATGAAGGTACATTATATTGAGTAGATTAGTTCAGTTTTCCATTTTATCAAGACCTACTAGCGAAATTTTTCTTCTAGAAAAAATGTGACTTTTTCTCCTGGACTTACCCTTAAATTAGACCTATTTAGTAGTGGTCTTAAAAACTAGATAATTCATGATATATCCATCCGTCATGCGTTTAAAAAATAGTCATAGAGCTGCAAAATAGTTTGAAGATTATAAGTAATCGAAAAACTGAAAAAATTTAAATTAAAAAAAATGCTCGAGATAAGGAATTTGGCAAGTGAAATGTGACTTTGAACCTCATAAACGTTATTAATATATACATGCCAAATTGTAGTTTCCGGTTGGATTTGGAACTATGCAACTAAATTTTATTATTTTAGTAACACTTCTCTTAATTGCAATTAAAACTCATGCTAAAACGCGTTGGCAATTTTCGCGTGCAAAGCACACACACATACCAATTTTTTTGCTTCATGAACGTAAATTGTAATTTATTCGAGGATATTTTAAAATTGCTGTTTGTTGACTGACTTGACTGGTTTTTGCATATTCGTTGACCTCTAATACCCCTCTGATTTAAAAAATTGTTATTTATCAGCCTCCCACAATAGGATCTGTAAACTTTGTTTTTTTTATTTCCTTGCAGACAAAATTTCGCCCCTAAAACTAGGATCCGGAGATGAAGGTACAATTTTAGTTAAAAAATCAATCAATGAAAATCGAACTATACTAGTTTTTTCTTGAAGGTTTGGGATGTATACGACATCCCTCATACACTGCGGATCAGAAGTTAGGAAAACATAAGCATACAGGTAATTTTTAAACCTATATAATTCTTTTGAAAACTAATCTAGGGGGCTGAGATCTTCGTCATTCGAAAGAGTGATTGGTTCACCTATCTTTGAGGTAAATATAATCTTTTTCGAATGACGGAAATCGCAGATTCGTAGATTAATTTTTAAAACATTTAAAGCAGGTTTAAAAATTACCTTAATTTTCATGATTCCCTAACTTTTGAGTCGCAGTATTTTTTAACCTTTTTTAAGTATCATAATTGTAGATTATTTTTAAAGATTCGGATTGAACTAACACTAGGTTAACAAATAATATCTGGAACAGGAAATGATTGATTGCTTTCGGTGTGCTTGCCTGGGAAAATTGATAATAATTTCATAAATTGTATCTAATTTATTATCAATATTTTTTCATAATTTTTCTTCACGGATTCATAAAAATCAGTTCTGATATTATAAATCGCTATGCGAAATGAGACTTTTCATGCAACCAGAACTGATTTCTAGGCATCCAACAAGAAAAAAATCTGAATTGAAATATATGTAGTAGGTTTTTAGGGCATGATCTTACAACATGGAATGTTTTGGATGGTCCTTATTTTTTCTGTAATAAATTCGATCCTCTTTTATAGATATTCGGACGGATAATAATTTAGATGGTACTTTTTTCTTTAAAAATGTTATTGAAGTGTCTCAGCGGTTAAAACAAAAAATACTAAAATAATAGGTGTAGCAAGTCTCAAAATTAACATCACCTTACATTATTAAAAATAACAAAATAACGTACGGTTCCGCAATTTTCTTGCAGCAACTGCATGCAATACACAGATCAATCATATTTTGACTACCTAAAATTGTGGCAAAATATAAAAAATGTGCATATAATTTCTATACAATCACTGTAAGACATTATTTCAAAATACATATAGGTAGGTAGGTACTTTTTTTAAATTTAAAGGGACTAAACCTGGGACTAAACAATGCTTGAAATGTTATTTAAGAAAATCCATGAAACTGAAGATGTAAGCAGATATTTTGAGCTTAAATGCAACTTTTAGCCTAAAAAATAGGTACATAAAGTAGGGACTGCAGACCAGAATATTTTATTCAAAATGTATGAATAATTTTATATTTCTTATTAGTGACGTCCTCGTAACAGGATCTATTATCACTTCTTGTATTTGGCCAGAGAGTGCAATAAAATAGTATTTTTGGTAGGAAAGTTTTGGCAGTCTTTTGCTTATAACTCGAAAGCCATCAATTTTTCGAAAAATACCTCTGTTCAAAATAGAAGTAGGTAAAACATAAAATTTGCTTTGAATTTCATCATTTATATTTTCCATCGACGATCCGTTTGGGCTCAATCGTTAGTTGAAAAGTGGCGTGTTTTATCTATTTCCACAAAAACACTCGCTTTTTATCTGCA